TCATATTCATCTAACCAACTCATACATGTATTAAAGCGAATTTTATGACTTTTTAAGAACATAAATTTTTAGGGCACAATACAGCCCAAACTATACCTTCTTATTTCTAACGAATGCTATCAATTTCTATAATTTTTATTTAAATATTCAATTATTTATCTCAAGTAAGATATTAATATTTTAAGCTAGAAGTTTCATTCTATGTGATGTGATAGAAATGATCTTGAATTTATTCTAAGCGCATTCTACTTTATGTAACCTTCAAGGATTGGTAAGAAAGTTTAGGGATCCTGTCTTTCAGTTCAATATAAGCAAAGAAAATGAACGGAAACTACAAATAATTGACAAAATATCTTCTTAAATTACATGTAGCGCATTATCCCATTATTTTTTGATACATGAAGTTTCATTCCATGTGATAGAATAAAACACTAATATGTCGAACAGTTATCATGCTCAAAATTCCCATTCAAATCAGGTGGCCCCGTGGGGATCCGGGTTAGAACAGGTCCTCAGTACCCCCTTGCTTGTCGTAAAAGGCGACTAATTGGGGCGGTCCTTCGGATGAGACCGTATAAACCGAGGCCCCGTGTCACAGCAAGTGTGGCACGATAAAGATCCCTCCCTGCTCAAAGGCCGTAAGTGCCGAGCATAGGCCTAAATTTGCAGCCCTTCACCGGCAATGGTGACGTCTCCATATCAGTGAAATATTCTGGAGAGGGACGTTAAACGGTATACAATCAATCAATCAATCAATCAAATCAGGTGCAAAGCAATGAAGGACCTCAAAACAGTAGAGTTAGATCAGGTGCCATTGAGAAGTAAGTATTCTCTATCGACCGGTCTTATCTACCGTGTGCTCTTTGTCATAATCGGGAAAAACGATATTTCGATATGTTAACACTTAGTAAAAAACAAGATTTGACTAAATGAAAGATTGTTTTTGCTTACAAAGCCATTACAAATTGACCATACAATTTGAGAAATGGTGACTCTAACCCCTTCCATGGCAAAGATTTTAAGCATTTCTAGACTAATTGATATTTAAGATTTCAATGTATTTTGGGGGCATTTCTTGTAATTTTTGTATATACCAATGTAAAGCAGGTATTGTGTAGTTTCTGAAAATGATTATCAAAATATCATTTCAGTTGCTAGGCAACGAAATACACCATAATTATGATGGAATTTCCATTTATTAAATAATGAGTCTCATTCTAGTTCGTTAGCTTAGTTAAATATATTCAAAAAATATTTAATTGTTGTGATGAAAATTATGAGCATGTTGTACATTTTTTTTTACAAACCTATTTTAAGTATTTTGGGGGGATGGGTTGAGGTTGGGATGTAAACATAAGAATTTAGCACTTTTACGTTTAACGTGTTACCCCCGCATCGATTTGGATAAAGGCAAAATCGCTCAAATAGTCCGCAAAGATTTACTCAACCTAGCAAAAAACTGGTACAACCAATAAAAAAAATCTGTATATTATTAAAGAGTAATTATTTTCTCTTTCCAACGCAGCAAGATTTATTCTTATATTTCCAGTATTAACAAAGTTATGAATGTTTTTTCACACTTTATTTGTTTTTCAAGTCAGATGCGTAGAAATGCGTATATGTCATGTAAGGGGTTAAATGATACTGTTTATATTTCTGATTTCTAAACTTGTTCTTTTAATAACTCGTTTCATAAACAATGTATAAGTCATTCCCTTCAGCATAAAATTTTATTGTTATCTAGTTTGCTATTAATGCCTCTTTCCAGTTAAATATCAAAACATAAAATAGATGTGTCAGACTGTAGTCAGTGTTTAATCAAAACTCTCTGGGAATTTATTGTCTACATATGAATGGAAATAACGCTCTTAAATTGATAAAACGCCGTGGAAATATCTAAGTGTCTATCTGAACGCCATATCAAGTGTTTTCTTTCTTCGTTTGTACATGTTTAAGTTTTTAAATAAATTATGCTTTATATGAATACAAATTTATGTCCTGTTATAACGGGCCACAAATGGGAATTCCTAGAGTGACAGAAATCATGCCTTTCAAAGTTATATCACATGCTTTGTACCCACTGAGCAAACTCATCAAAATGTTGACTACATTGGCCTTGCATCAAGAGTTCCTCAAAAATCTAGCTATTTCACGCATAACGGCCCAAATCCAACTCAAAACCTTTCTGTATCAGTTGAAATTAATTTTGCTTACAAGTTTCAGTAGCATTTTTTTTCGTCTGTCAATGTTTTAAATTTCTTATTACAGCGTCTTTTTTTCACAAGACCAGCAGCTGTAAAGATTAATTTAATCTATATCCAGGATTATATTAACTTTTAAAAGTTTTTGAACAGATATTTGAATAAATCCATTTCCTCACAGATCGCCCTTGTCTACTACAGTCTCTATCATTTTAACACAAGCTGTGCCATTCACAAACACATCCACAATTTGCTTTTGATATACATGTATTTCCTATTTCCTACAGTATTTTCAGAGTTAAATCTTTGAGCTTTCCGGAACACACCACAAAAATGTATCGTTAACTGTTGCGCCATGATATTATACAATTCTATATATGTTCATTTAAAAATATATATTTTCTTTTTTAAATTTTTGTTTGTAAAGTTTATAAAGATACATAAATCATGGCTGGTTTCTTTATTCAATGCATGCAGAAGTGCTATTTTAGAGTAGGACCATAGAAAACTGTTTGTCACAGCATACATGCAGCGCAGGCAATAGCAATAGATGACGAAAAGTATGAATTAGCGCTACGGATTCTGATTTACACTACCAAAATTACATTGATCCAAAAACTTAAAAATTGGTCGGAAATTTAAAGATGTGGTATTCTTAGGAATGTGTGTCAAAATATCCCTCATTTATTTGATGCATGGGAATTTTCGAGAAAATGTAAATTCACATTTTTCATTTTCAAAAATTAATATTAACATTAAAAAGTATAATTTTTTAACGCTTTATAGCATTCCTCACGAAAATTTTATAACTCGACTCACTTTTTCTTAGTGAACTCGAAATTAAAGACAGAAATGAGTCTGCAAATTAAATGTTTCTGAATCATATTTTTGTAAATTTGAATGTTTTCATTTTTTTTATTTACACAATTTTCAGAGGATATGACAGAAGATATTATTTAGTATATTGTTTTTTTTTAATTGCTAAAGTGCGATATAACACTTAGTATCCAAAATGGTTACAATATACTACTAGCGTTTTGTATTAAGTAGATCTAGCTGTAAGAAAATAGGAATTATACCAGCATTTCGCAAATCTAAGACAAGAGCTTTAAAAATAACGGATTTTGCTTGGGTTATATTGAAAACTATAGTATGATCATTGAAGAAATTCAGATTTGTGTATTTTTACCCATTTGAAACAGAAAAATCTTGCATGGTTCTTTAAATATCTTTCAATGATATCTTAAGTAAATTGTTATACCAAAATCATTTTGGTTTAACTTGATCTTTAACAAGTTTGATTCACGGAGTTGTCCTTTTATTGTTTAAGAAATAAGGTATCATTTAAAAACATCTATCGGGATATAAATACGGGTTGGTCACGAGATTAAGCCAAAGGGCTTTATGATGAATTTAATCTCATACAAACCCGTATTTATAGCCCGATAGATGTTTTAAAATGATACCTTATTGCTTATATTTACATTTGTGACTTATTCATACTTTATATTTGCCTGATTGTGACTTTTAACGTGTGAAATGTGTTATTTTTCAAACCCAACGGCATGTGTGTAATCCCTGAATGCGTGTCGACCTTTTATGACGTCACAGAGAAATTACGTCGAACGTTTATCCATACGCACATCTATGACCTCTTGACCCCGTACCTGTATTTAATATACAGTTATAGATACACATTGCTTTCAGTAGTGTTACATAAAGAAAAACATTTGGAAATGTAAATATATGTACATTGTGAAGTCATTATATGTTGTTCAACGTTAGGTATATATACCCTTTATTGTTCAAACCAGTCTCCTTATCATATACATTTGAATTTAACGTCACCTAGACTTAATGTAACATGGGATTTTTTCCGATTGTTTTGGAAAGAAGACACATAAAACATGAAGAATAGATTCATCGACGACATACAGCATCATTTCCAAAAACGAAAGGTAATGAAGACCTTTCATGAAACCAAGCATCCTCAAAAATTGTAAATAGAAAAATTTTAATACATTATTCTGTAAACGGCAAATTTAAATTAAAACTATTTATAAAAATTACGAAAGATATTTTATTTTATTATAGTGATTCACTGTATTTACAAACGCAAAGATGCTGGTTGTGAAATAAAAAAGAATTTGTATATAATTTAAAAGTCATTATCGTGAACTTAAAGCCCGAATTGTAGCATAAAATTTAAATTAAGAGGAAATCTTTAAATTATTACTTTTCACTTGTTTATAAAGCATGTAGTATACAGAAGAAATTCTTCATATCCGATGCTCCAAATGAAACTGTAAAAAAGTTAAAGAAACATCCCATTAAACCTGGTACACTAGGCGAAATACTGGGACAGGGCACTATACCTCTTTCGATCTGCTCCCTAGTTTAATTTTAGGCTTTTTAGCAGTCTTTATTTCTGAATAAAATTGAAAATGCGTGATATTTTTTAAAAAAAGCACTTCTTTTGAATTAACTTTTATAAATTTCAACCAAAATTTGTTTAAAAAATACTGTCAACGAACTTTTATTTCCAAGTATTAATCATTTCATAACATGCAATAATTTTATGGAAAAATAAGAATTATGAAAAATAAAAAAAAAAAAAAACATTATTGGGGGGTGTTTGTTTTTTTTTTTTTTTAATTAAGCAGGGTTTTCAGACAATTTTTTCTGAAATGATACCTTCCTTGTCCACTGCAATGACGGGAAGTTATTGATTTAAAATCTATATAAACTTCACTTTAGAATACAATTTGTTCACAATTTACTTCCTTGTTTGACAGCGATCAAATGGAAATTTTTAAGCTGCTCGTTTTTGTATATTTCATACAAGGTAACAACTATTAAAAAATTTGAACTATTTATGTATATCTTTAAAATGTGTATTTAAATATATAATTTTAGATTTCAATTTTAAAAAGTGTGAACAAAAGCAATGCATTAAATTTGTTTTCTTTTAATTAAACATTTAAAAAAAAAAATAAAATATGAAAAAGCATATAATTTAAACACATATTAAATCATTTCGCACAAGAGTGTGAATACATCGGGTAATAAATGCAAAGCACATTTTATCTTTATATTAAACGATGAATTAAAATAAATCAAAGAAGGGGTGCATATAATTTTGGGGGTAACAAAAATTAAACGAAGATATAAAATAAAACAGACACATTCATTGATTTTGCTCTTTAAACTATGTTTTTCTTAGTTTGAATTGTGTATTCTTTGCCATAAATTGCTCACATTTGTCTTGACTCTTGTTTCAAAATACATGTACATGGTCACGTTTCAAAAATCAAAAAGGATAATTTATTCAAAAACGTGTACATAAGAAGAAAATATTTGATTTTTGGGGCGTGGAGACCGTTACTTCGAGTAAGACTGTATTAATCGAGGTTCCGTGTTGCTGAAGGTCTTGATACTTAAAAAATTCCTCAATGCTCAATAGCCCTGAGTGCCGAGTAAAGGACATAATTTGTAGCTTTCCACCGGCAAGTGATGGCGTCTCCATGTGAGTGAAATATTCTTGAGAGGGACGTTTAACAACATACAATCAATCAATCGATCCAATGGCTAGCAAAAGGGAAAGATTGTTATTCCATATTTACCCAACATAGATCGATGTATATTCTAAAAAATCATTAATTACTTTCTTATCCTCTTTATTTGGTTATTAGGATTAGATGCATACAGAACCAAAGGGACCATTACATCGCCTGGATACCCTGATTATTACCCGAAAAATTGCAATATTACGTGGATGATAGAAGCACCACTCAATGCCAACAACATTTCTATATCTATAGAAGACCAGGATATCCATAAAACAAAAGGATATAAATGTGATGATTTCCTAAAAGTAATTGTTTTAACTTATACATTCAGTATAAATTGAAGCATAAAATTTGTGTTGCAACTTAGTATATGGAAAAAGATAATTAAATATAATTACAACGACGAGGCATTTGTGAATTTAAAAAAAAAAACAAAAAAAAAAAACATCATAAAAAGAAATCGCTACATGACATGCATATATTTTTATCAAACGTGATACATGAAGAGGATTTATCATGCGGAACGTTATTATAATATCGTTATCACTTCGATTCAGGGAAAATGGAAAATACATTGTTTGGATGCCCTTTTTACTCTTTACTCAATGTATAAAATACTATATCCAATCTGACATGGTGGTAAGAAAACTGCATGATGTACAACAACTCAAATTTGGTGATATATATGACTAAACAGTTCTGTTGTTCTGAATTATTTTACTCGGTTGAAGATTAGCTCAACTCAGCTGCATCGACGGCTAAAACTGTGAATCAGCTTTTATTCGCGTGCAAGAAATATCTGCGAGTTTCGCGACTTATTGTAACTTTTGAATATAAATCGCCTCGAACAATTTATATCTGAAGAAAATGTTTCTTTTTTCTCGGAAAGTGATCGTCGCAGATCGATATCAAATTTACAAATAATGAATAAAAGCTAGTCTATACTAATACTAGTACTTTGCTAATGTCGAGAATGTTTTAATGTTTTCATATCCTAGTTCGTACTAATCTAGAACGAAATTTATTTTAATACATTTTTCATATTATAACATATAATTATCCATTTGATTGAATAACTTAAGGGTGGTTATTCTTATATGGAAAAATTAAATGGAAACATGTATTCAAAAGCAATATTTTACTACCGCTTATAACATGAATTTTTGCACATTGTATGAACAATTGTACTTCACAGATAGAGGAATATGAACCTAAATTCACCTTGTACAAACAATGTGGAAAAGGGTCTATTCGCAGGATAACTGCCTATGGGAGAATAGTTTTGATTTCATTCATATCTGATGACTTCGGTACTGCTAGAGGATTTAAACTGCAATGGTCAGGTAATCTAAAATATTGTTTTTATAATGCCTCAAAATTTGTAAGTACTTCAAGATTCCCATACTTAATTGGACCAAATTCTCTACCTTTAAATATCAAACAAGTATATTTAGTTCTGATATTAAATTAAAGCATTTAAGTAGTAAAGATTTACTGAGAAAGTTTCAAAATTTTAATTTTAAAATAAGCAGTTGTTAATTAACAAAGATTACATGCACTGAAGTTTTTGAAGTTTATCCCTTTTTTGCACAAAGAATTATCGACATAGGTTTCATGAAAAAAAAAAACGGTTTCAGTTTATAGCTATTTGTTCGGATGATCTTAACGAGATTTTCAGTTTTTATAAATCAAAATCTATTTATGAAATCATTTGTTTGGAGACCAAAATCAGTCTATAAAATGATAATTTCAAAGATGCCCCCCCCCTTAATTTCGCAAGTAGCTGAAAAGCGTAATTTTATTTCTCAAAGATAGTTACACGTATTTTCATAAAAGAAAATTAAAACTGCAGTTTCTTGACAATTATTTGTTTTTTATATACTTTATTATCAGTTGCGTCGTATATGGACGAAGACTTCACTTCAAGAAAAATGATTACTGAAACATCTTTAAAAGTATTAACAACAGCAGCACAAAGCTTACCAACTTATATAACGAGATTAACACAAGCGTCAACATATTCAATGTCTTCTTCACCAGTGCAATCGAAAAGATCTCAAACAGTTCCACAAACAACAACATTTTTGCGATTCTTAACGACAGCAAGAGAAAAGGCACTAGTTAAAGAGAGTGCTTTAAAAAAGTTTTCAAACATAAAAACGAGGAAAATGGTGATTTTAAAGAATTCCACACCGACTTCAACAAACCCTTCCCTACTCACAAATGGTCCAAATTACTCTGAATTCAATACTTTTCAAACAATCAAAGACAATAATGTTATCTCGACAGAACCGCCTGAATGTTCTTCTACATCCACAGTCGAAACAGAACCACACTCTCAATCAAATTACAATCAAAGCTCTATACACAATCTGGCCGAGGAAAATACAAACTCAAGGATGATTCCCACAACAAAGTCGACGTTGAATCCGAGTTCATGGGAAGAGAATATTCTGCCTCTTTCCACCAAATCATTGAAAGCTTCAGACAAAACTGAGACTACAAGAACGAAAGAGAAATCAAATCTAGCAACGTCATCTAGCAGAGAAACCGACCAGACACATCAAAATCCAACTGATCAGACACAGTCTGAAGTGATATTCACGTCGATGGACATGACGACTACCCTTCAGTCAAGTACTACTGAAAAAGAAGTCAAGAAAGAAATGCCTTCAAGTCATTTGAATTGTGAGTAACCTGTCGTCTGCTAATTACCCTAGATATAAAAGAATATTCAGAGAATATGTAATCAATTGTATAAAAGTTCTTAGAATTTGCTTCTTTTTCAGCCTTTATTCCAGTTCTCCTAAGTGTCTGCGGATTCTTATTTTTCCTTTTATTCATATTCCTGTTCATTGTTTTTGTCCAGAGACTGAAGATAAAAAGGTATTTTTAATTTTTTTTTTATTAAATGACAGGTTTTGTTTTTGGCACATTTCCAAGCAATGAACGACACATAAATTTAATCATTGAATTTTTATGAATTAAAACTATTTTTTGTTCAGACTTCAAGAAGAGCCTCAACTTAGTTATTTACATAACAATCGAAGGTACAGCACAATTCTTCAAATGGAACATCGACCGATTGAAGGCATTCATATCTACGATCATGCAGGTCGGGTCCTTCCCAGCAGAAAAGAAAATGATTACAAGTACCTTTCCCCGGAATCATGCCCAAAGCATAACAAATCACAAAAAATAAAAATACTTCAAGACAGGGCTAGCAAACGTTACTTCTGTCCCGCGGAATTGTCAGAAATACAAGAGAAAACAAATTACATTGAAATTTTACCAGACGCCAGTGCCGTGTACTATGAACCTGCATCATCATTTGAATCCACCGCAATTTATGCACAAAGCGCAAAAAGAAGACCGTACTCAACTTTGAATGAAGTACAACAACGTCTAGACGTTTCAGAATACGAATTTTTAGATTTGTCAAAAATGTCATCTGAATCATAAGAGGATTGTGGAAAAGGGGACAAGAGATGACGTGGGTTTTTTTTTTCAAAATTGGAAAAATGGCGCTTTTTCTACAAATTTCCTCGTTCATCACTATTTCTTACTTCACAAGTTCACAGCTTTGACTTTTTTATCTGAATGAAGGATATGGAGATAACAAACAGTATTCAATCTCAAAGTCCATAAAACAATACAAAATTAAAGCAGAGCAAACACAAACCCCCGAGAATAACAGGTGGGATCAAGTGCCATGGAGGAGTGAGCATCCCCTGCCGACCGGTCACACCCGTCGTGTGCTCCTTGTCATGATCAGGAAATAACGGAAAAAAACCGTCGTCAATTCAGTGTATAATAATGGACTAACAATAGGTATGAAAAACGTCAATCAGCATTTTACTCAGTGATAAATTGTATTTGCTGACAAGGTCATTGTATCGACCATAGAACTTACGAAATGGTGACTTTAAACGACCCTGTTGATATTCTTGTTTCATCAACTTGCTTGTCAATAATTTACCTCGTTTTAGAAATTGCTCATACGTAGAGCATGCTCTTGCGTATCGAATCAACTGAGATATATGTACTCCGTATACAGGTGATGGAGGTATAATGCTGCATAAGTAAGGGAAGTTGACGATAGAAAAGTTAAAGTCATCACGTTTATCATATAGTTTGGTTGTTAGATTACCATTAGTGTCTTTTTCAAGTAAAATATCCAAGTATGAAACAGAAGTGTCGGACTCTGTTGTATCTTTTATCTCAAGCTCAATACAATAATGAAGAACAATAACCTTATGTGTCATTAAACATATTGTGGAGACTGATCCTCCGGATGAGACAACAGGCGCTTGTTTCATAAATGTACACTAGTGTTCTACTTTATAATAACACAGGGTAACCATCTTTTTTGAGACCAAAAATATTGGGATCTCATTGGCTCGGCTCTTGTACTCTCGGAAGTTTTCCATGCTATTGTAAAGGACATAAGATAAAACCGAAATATCATTTGGCGCAAATTTGAAAATTGATATTTTTAGGTTTCTGTCAAATGTTTTGTAAATTGACGTTTTTGGTAAATTTTAAGATAATTTGATAGTTATTATCAGTACAAAAATATTTGTTAAGGATCCTCTCTACATTCTTCTACACCAGTGCAAAATGTAACAGTAGCCAATGAGAGCGGGTTATCATATCACGGTTGCCAAACCGGAAGTGCTGAGTTGTTTAGAGATGTACTTTTTATTTCGATTGATGAAGCGTGGAATTTTATGGTAAGTGTCAAAGTTCGCGAGGAGGTGAGTTAAGGAAATATATATGAGGTTCAAGATGGTGGATTCCGGTTACCATTACACTTGTTTTTTTTTTGTTTTTTTTTTGGGGGGGGGGTGTTTTGTTTTGTTTTGTTTTTTTTTGGGGGGGGGGGGGGGGGGTTGGGGGCCAGCTGCGGATAATATATAAATAAAAGGGGGTGAATTGGTGACCTATATTTTTGGTCTCGAAAAAGATACATGTGATCGAGATTATATAGTAGAAACCTAGCGTATCTTGAACCAAGCACCTGTGGTCGAGACCTATAAACCTAAATCTCGTGTCGCAATAGGTGTTCTCTGATCAATGTCCTTGAGTGCCGGTTAAAGGTCTAAATTTGTCGCCCTTTATCGGCAAGAGGTAGCATCTCAATATGGGTGAAAAATTCTCGAAAATTCTCGAAAGGGACATTAAACAAACAAACATAAATTAATTTAAAATAAACGAGTAACAGAAAATGTAAACTTCAATACAAATTAAGTAATGAAAGGGAAAATTAAATTTAATACTAAAGTGTTTTTATTTAAGGAATCACTGTCTAATTTTGAGAGTATGCCAGGGCATTAACAATAGTGGAAAACATGGGATAATTTGCATAACGGGCGAAGCCCGTTATGCTAAAATTATCCCATTTTTCCCACTATTGTTGATGTCCCTGGCATACTCTCAAAGCTAGACAGTGATTCCTTATATTTCCATTTCATCGTGAAATAAAATTGTAGATTTAGACTTTGAAAATGTAGACATAGACTATAATCATACGAGGACTTCCATGCCAATTTCAAAAGTCTTCGCCCACTGACGTCGAACACATAGGCAGCCGCACGAGATTTTCATGCATATTTTGCCTCCTTAGTGTCAGACACAGAGACAGATGTGCACGAGATTTGCATGCGTATTAGGCCTCCTTAGCTCCTGATCTATCGACCTGCCTAATTCACATTCCGGCAGAATTATCAAAAATAAACTCCGACAACTTTCAAAGAGTTATCACAGAGAAAAACATTAGAAATGGTAATATTTAATAATAACTTTGTATTAGAGTATTTAATTCAGTAAAATAATTAAACAAACGAGAATGTTGTTTCTCACCTGTTTGTTTACAATAATCCTTAGGGTTTAAAGTATCAAGTTCAAAGTATACATAGGAATATAAAAACAGGTCAGTTATAACAATGGAGCACAATTAGTGTCGATATTAATTCCAACAATTTGTTGGAAAACTTAATTGCCAATACGAATGAATGTCATATTTCGTATTTCAATGAACATTTGAATTAATGAATCTGCTCAAGAACGAAATCCACGAAAATTGGTACTCAAAGAATATTGATGAAACCACAGTACTCAGTATCTCTAACTTGGAAAACCGTCTTGCTTGATCAACTGCATATTTTGGCTCGCAAAAGTATAAAAGTTAAGATAATGTAAAAATATTGACCACTTCTTAAAGTTTCTACGAATAAAATTTGCTCAAGGCGGAAATTAAAAGCAATTTAGTTATCCATTTCTTTTTCTTTTCATTTTTTTTGTCCTTTATTTCTTCATAAACTTAAGACAAATCTGAACCTTAAAGGTAATTTTAAATTATTATATTTGAGATTTTTCTTCATTAAATATTATTTGATAAATTCAAAGTTATCGCTCTTATTTTACCAAAACAAATAGCTAGGACTTTAATCAATTGATTCATAACATTTATTTCTTTAGTAAGTTTCATCAAGTTTTGTGATGACAATGAAATTCAAATCAACATATTAATTACCGAGTTTCTAATTATTTTTAATTCAGATCAAATAGATTCAGCTTGTTTACATCAACGTGAAAATAACTTCCCGCACTGTGTTTTTCCGTTCCGCAGTAAGTTAACAAAGTATTAGAGTGCGGAAGATTTGTTTTCAAGCTCTGCTAGGTAATATCCGGAAAGTTATATTCTAGGAAATTATACATCACAACATGGTGTTTAAGTGTGCTATGTCAGAACATACATGTATATGTTGCTGTTAAGTATCAATAATACACTGTATATCCGTATAACTGGCCATGGTATTCATCGTTAATGCTTTCATGATCCTCGTGGGAATAATTATCTGTCACAAAACTCTTGGAATCATAGAATTACTTCCATGCTGATTCATGGTTTATTTGTTTATATGAAATAAAGTAAGCCTTTTGATAGGTTTCTATACTAAAAAAGACTAGAAATAAATATCTTCTAACTTATTCAAATATTAAATGACCTTTTAATTTGTTTCTGTGGAGCATTGTAATCCTTAAATTGATTAATTGCCATAATCAGACACATGAAACAAACAGTGAACATATTTTCTAAATTATATGCATCAGTTTTCACAGCTAAAATTAGCACATTGCGGAAGTGTCTAATTACAAACGTTTTAAATACACGAACAAAGTAATAATGACCAACAAATCGTTCTCAAAAAGCCGTCTAGTTGAGTGTGCTTATACATGTATAATGTGTATATATCAAAATCTGAGTGTCGGACTTCTTTTCACTAATGATATGTAAAGCTTTTCGAAAGTTTTTTTTTTCAATGTTCTCCTGGCTTAATCAAAATACCTGTAATGCACTATTAAATTTATGACCAGTATCTGCTAGGAACTGTAGAAATGTCAACTAAAGGTAAGCTATATAATGAAGCTATTGATGTACCGCATTTATCAACTGCATGTTATTTCGAATTAAATTTTGTATAAATGAAGCAAATTTTCTCATATATTCATGCACAATTAATTTATGCATATTTTTATATGCTTAGTATTGAACGATAATAAATAACCCTGCATAAAATAAGCCTCTGCACAAACAATAAGTCTAGAAATAAAGTTATATTTCAAACCTAAGAAGTTTTATACTTTCATGTTGTTTAAATTTAATTATTTACAAAGCATTTTAAAAAAGAATTATCTCTCATTAGTTTGAGCACTTTACTCCACATATAACCTACATGTATGTACATAAACACATGGCTTATGAAGTGGATATTAAGAATGTAAATCACAGCCAAAACCCTTTCATTTACATTCATTTGTACGATGCCTGCACATCCTAAACTGCATATAATATTTTTTATATGATATTTTCACTTTATAAATAATACTTTGTTATATTTCAGATACCAAATTTCCAAAAAATAAATTTCGATGTTAAAATAAACATTGAATTCAAAGGTTTTCTAACGCTAGTGGAGCAATTTTAATTGGAATAATTCTCTGTTTTGGTCTTATCTTCCAAACTGGACACAGAAATATGACTGAAATATAAACGAATCGGCGTAAAACAACAATAATCTATCAATCCAAATCATGGAATGGATGTCTCTTGATTTGTTGTGTAATTAACAGCTGTGAATTACAGGGCAATTAAGGCTTACATGTACCAACAGGAAAGATCGACCCTACAGCTTTAATTTGACAGCGTAATTGAAAACTCGTGGTATTTTTTATATCTTAACTTAAATTTTAATTTTTACAAGTATTTGAAAAATGTTCAATTGCAAATTACTTTCAATAACTTTGAAAAATACAATTATTTGCAGTTAATTACAAGTACTCCATCCTTGATCGAAATGAAAATCCTTACTAATTAACTGATACAGTTTTACATAATGTCAGTTAAAATACTTAGACTACAATAGGCTACATTATTCTGTTTATTGGTTTTTATTTTAACCAATATGTTGCTACAAAACAAATTTTAACAAAAGGCTCTTCAGAACGTTTATTTTATACGAGGTACTTTAGAACACTACTGTCGTATGGGACGAATTTCAATATGACTACAGTTTGAAAAAAACAATAACTATTTCACATAAGTATTGCAAACCAATCTATAGAAGTATGCACCTTAATTGGTTAAAATAGAAACCGATGAATAGAAGTCTAAATATCTTGTCTAAGTTTTATTGACACAATGTTAAAATGAATGAGAGGTAGGAAGAAGGAATTAAGGATTTGCTTTTTTATTAATTGCAAGATTATGACTTAATGACTAGAGCGAAAAATATGACACCTGTAATTCAATCCCAGTGGCATCTAACATACAGATTAAAAATACTTATCAACTTTTTATTATTATTTTGATAGTCATAGTTATATTGGCTTCAAAATTGAAATATCAATTTGAAATGTAATTTCTAGCTTTTTTAAGCTAAGCATTGAAGAATATGCTATGTCTAAATATCGGTTTGCAATGTCTTCATGATTTCTTCAAGAATTATTTTCTAAGAAATTATTTCTTCACACTATTTTGTTTTAATTTCACTAGATACATGTATATAAGTACAAAAAGTAAACTTTTGCAATGGTGCATACGAGGGTCGTTCAATAAATACTGAAGCATACATTAATAAAATAATATAGAACTACATTATTAAATTTTATTTTTTAACGTTGAAAGGATCTATTGAAGAGTTTCTTATCAAAGAAAATCCCGTGAATCAATCCTATTATCCTCCTAAAGAAATTCAATTTCAAAGTAAACATGGTTATTACACTGAGCTGAAAACTGTTTTAATTACCCTTGCCAAGGTGAAAATGAAGGTCTATATGAAAACTGTGATTCTCTACATAAATCGCTTAAGAATTCATATTGAATATGAATTTCATATGTGGGAAAATAAGTCTTTGATGCAGAATAGTTTTCAAATGGATACAAAAATCCAAAAGAAAAAAAGGAGAATTTAAGGTAGGTCAAAACACTCGTGCATTTTAACCCATTTCTTAAAAAGTACTGGAGAAAAAAGAATAATATTACTATATTGACAACAATGAATGATCCCTGAAAGAAAAATAATAAGTTTTGGCATATTTGCGTCATATTTTGTGAAGAAATCAGAGAATCCTATATATTGGTCACTTGGGAGCTTACATTTTGAAGTGCAATAAACAACAGTCTGTTTTACCAGTCTGTTATAAAATGCAATGTAACTTTTGTTCCATAAATAGTAGAGGGGTGATATTTGGACACATATATAAGGAGTCACATTCTTTATGTACGACAAAGGTCAAGGTCATATCAAGAGGTCAAAGGTCAAATATTGTGACGTCATCTACTGAGTCTTTTAGGTTTTTTGCCATTGAATTTTTTTTAATCGCCAAAATATCTTAAACCACCTGTTCAATTCTCTTTATTTTTACATATTTTATTCTAGGACCCATTTGAATTATTCTGATGATTTTTTTGTAAAAATTGAATGATACATTTTCTCTTAAGAAAACTTAAACTGTCGGTTTTTACATGTGAATTTTCAGTTTCTGACACAATGTATGTTCTTTTTTACTTAACATTTTACCCAAATTTTCCAGTATCAATGTGACTTACTGATTTTAGGTAACAAAAAGTTATCTTTATTAAAAGTATTACACAAATTTGAAATAGATCAACTGATAATTCTAAAATAAGGCTCATTCTCAAGTCGAATGTCTGATTTTACAATCTTCTTACAGGGGTCCGACCATATTTCAGACGATGCGGGAAAAAAATGTGTGGTTGAAATTCTTTCATATCATATATAATGAGGGATTTTGTATTCAAGATCAAAATATCACAGTTTCAGAAAAATTGAATTTGAGGAAAAAATTGACCTAAGGTAGCATTCAAACTACCGGTAGCCAATTGAAATCTGATGCTACACAAAAAATATATAAGTTCTGTGCAAAATAATATCTGAAAATATCATATTAACAATAAAAGACATTACTTAGACACAAAAATCATCACAACATTTAATAGAAATCTGTCAAAGAATATTAACATATTAATAAAATTTCTATCATATTAATGTTTTTTATGCGCCCAGATCGATAGATCCGTGGCGTATATTGTTTTTGTCCTGTCTGACTGTCTGTTTATCTGTTTGTAACTTTAAAACCTTGAGAGATAAAGACTTCATATTTTGTAAGCATACTTCACTATTAAAGTATTTCAAAAGACATAGGTCAATGAACTTGTGCCCTTTACTGCAAACTTTATGCTAAAAATAACTTTTTCGAACTTTCGAACCATAACTTTTGAACCATAGGAGATCGAGACTTCATATTTGGTTGCATACTCCAATAATAAAGTTCTTTCATATAACATTAAGATCAATGACCTTGTGACCTTCACTGTGACCTATGTGCTAAAAATACTTTTTGGAACTTTGTTGTGGCCGGGCGCATAGTGTTTGACAAACACATATATATATATATATATATATATATATATATATATATATATATATATATATATATATATATATATATATATATATATATATATATATACAGTACCGACCAGACCCAACCTGACACAAAGCAGTCCCAGAGCAGTCCCGGGGACTGCTTTCTGGGACTGCTAAAGCAGTCCCGCAGCGGTCCCAGAGCAGTCCCACAGCGGTCCCAGAGCAGTCCCACAGCGGTCCCAGCAGTCCCAGCGGTCCCAGAAAGCAGTCCCGGAAAGCAGTCCCAGCAGTCCCAGTGGGCGGGGTTTGTTAATTTAATGGGCGGGGCTAACTCAGAAACGAGATTTCCAATAAACAATGGAACTATAAAAGGCAGCTGAATTTTTTTCTGAGCAGTATGCCAGGAATCCTTACAATGCGAAGGTCATTTACATGTATGAGCAGTACCCGCATAGATTTGAAACAATTTGAAATAATATTTATTTAAGGAAGAAAGCCTACATAAATGAATTACACTGAATATGTATATTTAATCACAATTATTTTGGGTTTTTTTTGTGATTGATACTGGCTCCCATATTTATTTTCTATACAGAAAATTAAAATTGAATTAATTATATTTCACCAGAATTAGTTTTAAATAGATATAATCATTATAGATCATGGCCGATTTCCATACTATCGGGATACTCTAAAAGCATTTTTTTTAAAAAGTATAAGGGCTTTTGAAAAATTCATTGCTAATTTTGCCAAGTACATTTTAATATTTTTCAATATTGATTATTCTTTACTGACATGTTTATTTAAAAATTATTATTTTATTTGTAAATTGTATTAGTGACCAGTATAGAATCCTAAGATTATGTTCAACATTAATTAATCTTGAAAGAAATTTATACTCATTTATCTTTTTTATGCATTACATTTTTTACATTGATTGAAATTAGGGTCATTGTTAATTAAGCAGCATGTTCAATGATGTGTAACACTGATAAGTGTACCCAAATAACATGCATGATTGATTTTCTGCCCAAAGGCGATTGAAACCACAGGTGTTTATACCATTTTATTCATACACATTATCGGCCAGGTAAACAAAAGCAAAACAAAAAAGAAATAAATCACAATTCCAGGCATTTTCAACTGTTTATTAATTTTTTTTAATTTACTTTTTTAATAACTTATTTATAAATTAAAAACTAATTCATCTGTAAATTCCCGTATAATTGTTCACATTGCTTATGTTACGGTGGCATAATTTTATTTCATGTCATAAAATAAATTGTTAGATTTTTATTTGAGGGTTGTATGTAATACTCTTTTAGCGTGGTGCTTGTAAAACGTGTAGCCTTTTCAATTAAAATATCTTATATCTAAATGTAATGATTTTTTTTAAATAGTGCCAATTATGAAAATTTTGAGTATTTAATTTTAGATTTAATAATAAAATAAATCTACATGTAGATATTTTTTCTCATGAGCCTGTAGTTTTATACATTTTAGAAATAAAAATCTCCTCCTGACTTCCTTATTTAACAACTTTATTTTTAAAAATATTCTATATTACATTTGTGTAAATATACAGTCCCTAAAACTATAAATTAAGTATAATACATGTAATCTCAAGTTATTAAAGATTATAAGAAATCCTTGCTTAATAAACAGTTTAAACTCCTCTCTGCTGCAAGTAAACAAAACAATAGGGAGCCTGCAAATTCAGAATACACAAGGGGGCGGAGCTATCATGTCACTCAGAACCTTTGTCACACATAAGTGAACAAAGCAGTCCCAGGGGCAGCTGGGACTGCTGGGACTACTTTTCACAGCAGTCCCAGAGCAGTCCCATAGCGGTCCCACAGCAGTCCCAGAGCAGTCCCAGAGCAGTCCCACAGCGGTCCCAGAGCAGTCCCAAAGCAGTCCCGGGGACTGTTTTCTGGGACTGCTTTGGTGTCAGGTTGGGTCTGGTCGGTACTGTATATATATATATATATATAATTATAAAAGAAAAAGAAAATGCAGTTTCCAAATTTCATTTAACACAAGCGCTTTCTGGATTTCATAATCCTTCTTCAGGTGTACATAAATTGAACTGATTGTTTTGCTTGGTAACGTTAACTATGACGTCATGACGTCATGAGAGTCTTTGCAGGGAAGGAAGTAATCTATGACGTCATAGTATGGCTACGTTACGTAAAAGTTAGGGAAAATCTAATTGGACAACAATGGACAATAAATCACATATTTTTCAGTCTCAATAAACAAAGTAAAAAGAAATTCTAATTGATGGTATATAAAAATCGGTAATTTCTCAATGTTAATGTTTGTTCAGTTTTGGTGAAAAAAGATTTATGAAGTAGTTTTCTTTTGCTAATCTCATTGCAGTGGAATCGTTCCTAAGTTTATAAAAGGGGAACACACAGTAGTTTCCTTGTGAGCAAATATCGAAATGTTCACTGCATGGCGTGTTTCTGAGGCTCGGATTGTTAATTTGTTGGCGATGTACGCGCATGCGGGCGGTTAATTGGGTCCCGGTCTGGCCGATGTATTCCTCTCCGCAGTTGTTACACGTAATACAATAAAGGAGGTTTTTGCTCTTACAGGTCATATTTTCATTCACAAGAAATGTTTTTCCACACTTGAAAATAATAGAGGATCCTGTTCGTAGGTTAGGACAAGTACCGCATCTCGGATCACCGCATCTTGTTACGGAATATTGTTTTTTGTGGAAGGGCAAAATTCAGAAATATCGATGGAAAAGCTGGGCGTAAAAAAAGTGGACCCAAAAATCATTAATATTTCAAGTAAAACGTTTACTCAAGAGGAAAAAGAATTATTAGAAAAGGGCTTTAAATTTACACCAACACCCAACCCCGACAATCAAAACCTAGAAAAGGATATAGATGAATTCTGTAGAAAACTGCGTTTAAGAGAATTTTTTGGACGGGTTGATAAAAATGACGATTGTATTGTGAGAAATAAAAAAGGGACGACAATACAAAAAGGACGTAACAAGGATTTAGATGACTATATAGATGTTCTGAAGTCCACAAAATCATCTTTGCTAAACAAAAATCCTGTGAAAAACAATTTGTGTGTAAAACATAAAAAAGCTCTACAGGAATTACAAAAAGAAACGGAAATTATCTTCAAAGAAGCGGACAAGGGAGGAGCAATAGTTTGTATGGACAAAACATTCTATAAATCCCTAGTTCTTCAACAACTGAGTGATGATAATTTCTACATCAAATTGCCTGATAATCCTGACAAAACAATCATGAGACAGCTCAAACAATTATGCAAAAAACATCAAAATTTATTAAAAAAGGATGAGCTTGACTATCTAATAAACTTTGAAATGAAAACCAGCAACTTTTATGGACTACCTAAAATACATAAAAGCAGTGATATTAAAACAGCCATAGAGGAACAGAACGGAACATACATTGCTACTCAAGAACCAACAGATCTGAAACTTCGACCGATTGTAGCTGGTCCTGCGTGTCCCACTCATAGACTGAGTAATTTTATAGATATACTCTTGAAGGATCTGTGTGAAAAAGTCCCGAGCTACATACGAGATAGCATGGATTTTTTAAACAAAATTCCCGAAAACGTGGAGCCAGATACACTACTTGTAACCTTTGATGTGAAGAGTCTATATACTAATATTCCACATGATCTTGGACTAGAAGCCATAAAATTTTGGATTGAAAAGTACCCAGAGTTAATTCCAAGAAACATTTCTTCAGAATTTATCCTAGACTCAGTTAGATTTATACTGGAAAACAACACATTTCATTTTGATGGAGATTTTTATAAACAGATCAAAGGAACCGCCATGGGGACTAAAATGGCACCAACATACAGCATCCTTGTTATGGGATTCTTTGAAGAAACATTGTATCAAAAAGTTTCCGATGAATTGGGCCAAGAGATTGGAAAGCATTTAAGAGATTATTGGAAACGATTTTTAGATGACTGTTTCCTATTTTGGAAGAAATCAGAAGAGGATTTACAAACACTCTACACGTTACTAAATTCAATAAATCCAAATCTTCAATTCACAATGGAGCACAGTGATTCCTCTATTCCTTTCCTTGACGTCATGGTCACAAAGCAAAACTCACTTATTTTAACGGATATTTTTTTATAAAAGCACGGATACGCACCAATATCTAAACTTCACTTCGTGCCATCCTACTCACACAAAAAGAAATATCCCTTACAACTTAGCCAGAAGGATTTGTATGATTGTGAAAGATACAGAAACTAGAAATCAAAGGTTGACCGAACTAAAAACATTTCTTCTAGCACAACATTATCCAGAAAATCTTATCCTTTCTGCCATAGAAGAATCCAAGAAAATTCCGCAGCATATTTTAAGAACAACCAGAAAAAAGGACAAAGATCCATTCTTAATCCCTTTTGTAACAACATTCAATCCGAAACACATTAATATATTTCAAGAGGCAAGAAAGAATTTTACCATCATTGAACGGGATAATGATCTTCAACAACTTATACCGAAATCGGATTTGATTCGCAGCCAAAGACAACCGCCAAATTTAAAAAAACTTTTGACCAGAGCTAAATTCAACACCATTCCAGAACAATATTCCGTAACAAGATGCGGTGATCCGAGATGCGGTACTTGTCCTAACCTACGAACAGGATCCTCTATTATTTTCAAGTGTGGAAAAACATTTCTTGTGAATGAAAATATGACCTGTAAGAGCAAAAACCTCCTTTATTGTATTACGTGTAACAACTGCGGAGAGGAATACATCGGCCAGACCGGGACCCAATTAACCGCCCGCATGCGCGTACATCGCCAACAAATTAACAATCCGAGCCTCAGAAACACGCCATGCAGTGAACATTTCGATATTTGCTCACAAGGAAACTACTGTGTGTTCCCCTTTTATAAACTTAGGAACGATTCCACTGCAATGAGATTAGCAAAAGAAAACTACTTCATAAATCTTTTTTCACCAAAACTGAACAAACATTAACATTGAGAAATTACCGATTTTTATATACCATCAATTAGAATTTCTTTTTACTTTGTTTATTGAGACTGAAAAATATGTGATTTATTGTCCATTGTTGTCCAATTTGATTTTCCCTAACTTTTACGTAACGTAGCCATACTATGACGTCATAGATTACTTCCTTCCCTGCAAAGACTCTCATGACGTCATGACGTCATAGTTAACGTTACCAAGCAAAACAATCAGTTCAATTTATGTACACCTGAAGAAGGATTATGAAATCCAGAAAGCGCTTGTGTTAAATGAAATTTGGAAACTGCATTTTCTTTTTCTTTCATAATTATTTTCACCTGTGTGACATCGACTGTGAACTATTTTCAACTATATTATATATATATATATATATATATATATATATATATATATATATATATATATATATATATATATATATATAAAATATTCTGAGGACAAGACACGCGTTAAATGTGCCAACTGTTTTAAAACGAATATTTTTTTAAAAAAGAATTCATCAACTTGCATAATTGAAGACGAGACATGGGAACACTTTTAAAGCCAAAAAAGATCAATGATAAAATGTGTGGAATGAAAGAAAAATACGTCGTCTTTTTATTGTAAACGGAAGCAAGAGACCCATCCACGTTTTGTTAGTTTTCTTTTTTCTTGAAAACGTGGTTGGTCAAGTAAAACATGCACATACACCCAAATGAAGGATTTTTAATAGTTACTTTTATGTTAAAATTGTACTTCATGCAAAGGAAATCCAAATATCGATACCCATGGTATGTTTTCCTTTACCGGTTGCAAATAAGCATAGAGAAATAAATAAAATTTTGAATAAAATAAAATTAACTAGTCATCCCCTATATTTCATAGATCTCAGCCATTGCGAAATATTTTTTTTCCAAAAAAAAGGGCATGAAAACAGTCAAAGGGAAGATTGTACAATATCATAAATATCTTATTGGAAGTTATATAGAACTTGTTTTCAATCCTTTATGTGACCTTTTCTATTGCGGTATTTATTAAACAAACCCGAGGCTTGTAATTAAACGGAGGAAGTGTTTCGAAATAATTTCTCAAAAAACATTGTAGGGACTTAATAAAGTTCCATTCCTTCTTATACTTCGCATTCATAATAATGAACATGCATTTCAAAAATTAATTTTATATGATCTTAGTAACTATAAACAGCAAGGTATTCAACCAATCAGTGCTGGTGTGACTAGACAACTGTTCTCTAGAATCCATCACTACTCCTAGTTATTGAGCTCTTTAACATTATAATAAAGTACATGTATCACCATGACTTGTATTTATCTCCATCAGTAAATAAAAACATAACAACAAAATAGATGTATTAAGTTTATTGGAATAACCAACATGTATTTACAACATCTTTTTAAAAAAAAAAGAGAGAGAAAAAGATTTCATTAATAGATATTATAAATAAATTATAAATAGATAATGAAACAATTGAGCATAATTAAATAAGAAAGGAAAATGTGAACAAAAGTTAATCAATAGTATTTACAGTAATTCTTTATGTATATATATACAGAAATGTGTAGTACCACCTACCTGTGTGACAACCTGGAGAAGAATATGATGGAAAACACCAACCCAAAACCGCATACAGCGTACGTCAGACGTCTTAGGTCAAGTGCTGGGTCACAAAGGTAAAAGTTGAGGCCTACGAACTCAAGGCGCCGAACATCCGTACCAAACATTGCAACTCAATCTCCATTGGTGAAAACTGAAAAAAATTAACAATTTAGAAAAGTTGCGAGAATTACAGGAATGTTTAAAAGAATAAATTTTAAAAGTGGTTAATATTTTTAAAATATACTACTCTGCATACATGTACCAAAGCCGTCTTCTGTCTCTTCGAAAACATGTTACCTTGGTCTGGTCTCTTCCGTTTGCGGGTGGACTGCTTCTGGAATTAAGTAACTTCAAATGTATCATACAACTATCGCATAGACATGTATAAATATCTGTTATTTATTTTAAACATGAATATTTTTATCCATAAATTTTCCAGTAATGAGGAAAGACAAGTCTGGTTATTCCCAGCTTGTTTTTGCTATTTTTGGCTTTGTATATTTATGATTATTGGCTTTGTATTTGATAATTTAATGTCAATGTATAAAAAAAAATAACAGATAGTTAAAATTTATACATGTATACTTCTTATATGTATTAATTATTAAATGATTAAATTTAAATTCTTAATTTCCATTACCACTGTCGGCTGTGTCTCTGGGCAGTCGCTCCCTTCAGCCTTGTCCTCCACCAATCTCTCTATCTCCTTCCCATCAGTGATCTACAAGAAGCAACTAATTTACTTATAAATTTCACATTTTTTTTTCTTTTATCCTTTTAGGTACCATCTCAAATCAGCCATAATGGTTGACTCTCCGTAAGCTAGATTATCTTAAAAACATTTTTATGGTTATTCTTGCTTAACAATTTGTTTAGTTTCACTGATTTATTGGAGTAACAATAATAGTAATACTTATAATTACACTAACCCTGTCAGTGGCAGATTTCGGCTCATCAGAGGAAGAGCTGGGAGGGGTCTCGGCAGGTGGAGAAGATCCGCCATTGCAGGGTTGGATGGGATGCACCTCTGCAGCCAGGGAGGGTTCCCCATCAGATCCACGAGTTTCATCTGTCGGTTTCTCACAGAGCCCAGTGTCAACAGTGGGAGAGGATGGTCCAATCTCCTGGAGAAAAGGTAACAAAGTGTGATACTTCGTGAGTAGTTACAAAAAAATTCTTTATTCAATAAAACAGATTGTAATGATGTACATCTTTTTTTCAAAATAAAGTAGATATACTGAGCTGATGTACATGTATTTGTTTATAACATTGTGGATAAACTTACATCAACAGCAGCCTTGCGTGACTCCAGCTCTACTGATGGCTGTTTTAAGAAAATTTTTTAAAAAAAAAATGAAATTGTTGTATATTGGCAATTTCAAACAATTGAATTGCATTTAGAATTATATTTCCATTTTTAATATCAATGAGAGCACAATTGTCAAAACCAAAAACCTATAAATAAAAAGGTGTACAGTATCTCTTTGCTTATGAAGTCTTTAATCAGACAAAACTGTAGAAGAGATAGCATTTTGAAAAATAAGTCAAATAAATTATACTTGTAGTGGCTATTGCAACAATGTTCGTCGAAATAAAATACAAATAAGAAAAGTATGAACATTTAGGTATTAGTTTTGTCCACATTTGAATCTATTCTTATCAAAAGCGGATCAAAATCTTTTGGTGTTTCAAAAAGTGTAATTGTATACAAATAATTTAGTTCTAGGTTTGCCTCAACCTAGTCTTGGTGCCACTCCACGGTTGGCCTCCTCTTGAGTTCAATGATGACCAGGTAATAGGATTGTCCCGGGGCTGTAGACCTGGACCTTGTGTAATGTGGCACATAGTTCCCGACAAGCGCTCCCTCTTTGATCCACTCGGCGATCTTACTTCAGCCAATGTCACAACGCACAGTCTGAATTCTTTTCGTGTTCGAGTTTCCAAATGGTCAAACTGCTTGAGTAAAACAAACCTCCTGCCCGGAAACTCGTTACACGACAGTTATATTCCGACCAGTAATACGTCACGAAAGACCGCAATTTACAGAGAATTATGGGTACAAAATTGCTACATTTAAAGGACTGTTTAGCTAGCCTGATAAACTTATGAATGTTCATAATATTACAGAGGACAATTCTATTGCTTACCTAATATCAATAATTCAATTGCTTACCTAATATCCTATGAGGATAATAAACTATAGTTTACAAATGTGAATCTATGTTTATCAACAAAATATATTGTTAACGCTTAGTATTACAGACAGATAAACTTAGATTAGCATTCGTAAACTATAGTTAACAGCCGTTAAATATATTTTACAGATGAAAACTATACTTAACGAATCGTTAACTACAGTTTACGGTTTGTAAACTATAGTTTACAGTCGATAAACCTAGTTTATCAAATGTGAAACTAGGTTTATCTCATTTTTGTGAATTTGGCATGCCATACAAATAATTGTTTTCGGTGTTAAGTATAGTTTACGGTTGTGAAACATAGATTATCACGTTAACTATGGTTTACAGATGTAAAATATAGATTAACGTTGTACACGTTTACAGTCGATAAACCTAGTTTATCAAATGTGAAACTAGGTTTATCTCATTTTTGTGAATTTGGCATGCCATACAAATAATTGTTTTCGGTGTTAAGTATAGTTTACGGTTGTGAAACATAGATTATCACGTTAACTATGGTTTACAGATGTAAAATATAGATTAACGTTGTTAACTATAGTTTACAGTACGTAAACTATAGTTTACAACCGATAATCCTAGTTTATCGACTGTGAAACTATGTTTATCTCATTTTTGTGAATTTGGCGTGCCATATAGGTATCACTGGTCTTTGTTATCAAATGTCGAGATCTGTGTTGTTTGTAGATATTTGCAATTATATAGTTAGAGAGAAAAAAAACTTGAAAATCATTGTGTTTTAATTGCCCTCTTTTCAAGTAATTGATATTTTTCAGTAATTGATACAAGATTGATAATGACCACTCACTCTCGTGTCTACTTCTGATCCCTCCGCCAGACTTTGTTGTATCTCTAAGTTATCCTTCTCCGTTTCGGTACAACCTACAAAACAGAAGAAATCAGTTTTGGATATGATATTTTTACATATAACATTTTAATTTCTTTATCAATCTATAGACTATTTCACATTAAGTCAATATTATTTGGTACCCCACCTCGTCAGATTCCCCGGATGGCGAGCTTCTGGTCTCTGACGAGTCCTTGCCTGGTTCATCACCGGTCTGAAATAATATGAAAAATAACATGAATAATGTACTTTTATTACTTTAAAACTCAGTCACTATTGAGAATATTTGCTGCAAATAATATTGATTAACACTATCATGTTTCCAACAAATCTTATGTCTATGCTCATTTAACATACCGGCTTGGGTTGGTCCTAATTGGAGGGGAGTGGCACCTTCTGTGGTTCGTTGGTGGCGAATCCCTACAAGACAACGATGGTTGTTAAAATTTTTACCTCAGATTATTCTCTCTCGATCTCTCTCTCTCTCTCTTCAGTGTTTACTGAGTTTTAGTTTCACTTTCATTATTATATTATTTTAAAATCTCCATCAACAGTATATATTATACAATTATTGACTTTTGATGAGGTCTACTCGTGACTATACAGACCTGGTCAGGTATTGGTTGACCGAGGCCGAAGGCCGAGGTTAACCAATACCTGACCAGGTCTGTATAGTCACGAGTAGACCGAATTCAAAAGTCAATAACCGTTTTATTAAATGATGAGGAATTTTACAACACTGCTGACTCTTTCATTCTTGTCTCCATCAAATATAAACATGCATCCATAATGTAAAGTGTAATTACACTTTTTACATGTTGATATACTTCAACAGCTAAACAAATATTAGTTAAAAAGTTAAAAACAATATTAATAAACAATAAATATTCAACCATTTACTTTCAAAAGTTCGTAATCTCCTTGGTAATGGCGTCTGACATGTTAACATTCACACCGACACATGCTTTGAAACACGCAATCTAATTGGTCGAAAAAGCTGTAAGCAAATCTATGGTTGGTCGAGAGGGAAAACCCGAATAAACCTCCCAGAACGTCATTTGAGGTGAACTCACTCTGAGGTACACACCAGTAAATGGCGTCTAGACCAATTAGAGAGCACCATGGAGAGCACCATGGAGAGGGCTTATATAGGCTATGCCTGCTGCCCAATCCAATTATGTATTTTACATAATAAAATATGTTCAAATCAAATTAGAGAGCACCAAAATTCCTTATCATTTAATAAACACTTATATACCTCTCGTGTCCATGTCTTGTCCTTTGTCCAGACACGGTTGTAACGACAGCTTCTCTTTCTCTTTATGGGTACATTCTACAAAATAAAGAGAGCATAACTTTAACGTACATGTCTGTATATATTCCAGTCAATAACTATCATCATTAATTAATTCCCACTGGAATTCCGCTCTTCAGCTTTAATGGGTTATCCTGGACCAATCTATTCACAGTGGAATTGCACTTCTAAAAAAATATTTTTACCTTAATTATTTATTTCTGTATACACTGTAAATCTATGTGAAATCTGGATTACCAAATTTGTCTTTATATGATCATGAATATTTATAGTGTATTCGTTTTATGTATGATGACATGATACCAAATAAATACTACTACTACTACTACTACTAAATTTAAATATTACCGTATAAGTAGAATTTTTAGCGAGGATTTAATTTTGGCATTATTAGCGAGGGTGCTGACATTGCTGAAATTGAATATCGCTAAAAATTAATTGCGACGTATTATTTGTAATAGCTTCTTTAGTTAGCAATTTAAAATCGCTAAAATTACTTCTCGCTCAAAATAAAATACCACAATTTAGGTAGAAATCGTTTCATTTGCGCCTCGTTAAAATTTCCACTTATACGGTATGTATGAATCTCCGCACATTTGTCTTTTTTTTTTAATGGAAACTCAGATCATTCTAACAGTAGGAAACAGAAAATAATCCACATTTTAGCAAAGAGAGACTTCTGTACAATACCTCATCGGGGGCGCAGAGCAAGGGTGTGCTGGCTCCCCGTGAGTCCCCGCCTGGACCACCCAACTTCTGAAGAATAAAAAGAACATGAAAGTACATATACATATGACACTGGATTTAGAGGGGCGTAGTGGGGCACGTCCCCTAAAATTTTCAAAGTTTATCATGACTGATATTAATAGTATCGTAAATATAATCGTACTTTGGTTTTATAATCAATGGTCATTTAATAAATGGTAATTTTTAATGACAAGTACTAGTGTACCCTCCTGAAGATGTAAACTGCCATTTTTCATGTCTGAATTTTTTTTTTTCAAAATTAATCTGAAATATTACAGAGTACATAAAAAGGCAATGCCACTATTTACCCTTACTCCCTGCTAAACGAAGTTATCCACCCTTTCCCCTAATGACAAATCCTGTATCCGTCCATGCATGTGTACTTGATGAGATTTATAATTATACCAATTGCCTGCGTATGTATTCTCGAACCAATAAAACCTTAATCCATTTTCCTTTTTTTAACTTTTACAAGTTAAAACAAGGTAACCCCCCCCCCCCCACCCGAGGCGGAAGCTGGACAGGCTAACGTTGCCAATGGCGACTTCAAATGTAGAGCTAGGAATATTATTCTAATGCTGTATATTATTTTCAAAATTATAATGACTAGATTCTATGTCAAGTGAAATCGTCTAGTATAATTATTGGTAGATAGTAAAATTAATTAACATATATTATTACAACTTCTATTTCATAAATGGAAAACTAAATTCAGAATATCGAGCAAAGATCTATACAGATCTAACCACAGTATAGGTAAACTTTCGCTGACCTTACGTTTTCCTATGGACATATCCCACAAAAGAAAATAAAAATGACATGTAGGTTTATATATTTCCTTTAATTGTAGCAGTGATACCAGGAAAACGGGCGGGTGTATGAAAGGAGGGTACAAACAAGTCAGCACACAACCCTCCTTTACGTTACCCCTCCTAACTCTCAAAGTAAAATATAAAAAAAAATAAATAAATACTGAATTATTTTTACTCAAATAAAACACACAATGTGAGGCATTACCCTCTTATATCTGTTTGCTTGCGTCTCTGTCGCCATTTCTTTGCTAAATGCAGTCAGTTTGCAAAAAATCGGGAGAGTAAAAAAAAAATGCGTCCGATGCCTTCAACGAAAGCCTTTGGTATGAGACGTAACCACAACACAACGCCTTTACTACGAAACGTGATGTCATAATCGGAATATTTACATTCAGTATTATTTTCCATATCAAATCCATTAGAAATCCACGACGTTCAAATTTCTATAACACACGCGAAACCTTGTCACCGCGCGTTAGAATACACAGTAGGAACTATATGCATTTTCTATACACTAGAAACACCAAAATGTAAAATGTTTTATTTCAATTTAATGAAAAACTACAACCCTGAAAAATTAACGTAGAAATTAACGTAATGTGCGTTAAGAATTAATTTGTCATTTTTTAATTGCAATGTTTGTGTGCGTAATTTAACTTAACGTTTCACTTAACGTTATCTGACGTCACAAACGGCTCTTACGTCTATCAACCACGTTAGTTTTGAAGGGCGCTAAATTCACATTAAATGTTAACGAAATAAGCAATTATGAAGAAGGAAAATTAGAGAATGTAAATATAAGCATTGAATTCATATTTTTGGCTGTCTTCGGTCCTATAACACACCTGGCCGTGCCGACAAATTTATCATACCGCGCTAACGCGCGGTATTCAATTTGTCGGCACGGCCAGGTGTGTTATAGGACC